AAAAATAATAAATAAATAAACCAAATACTTACCCTCCACCCCCCCAAAGAAGAAAATACAACCCAACACACAGGTGTATTTCCCTTTCAGAAACAGAAGCCAGCAATGAAGAAACTACCTCCCTGTCTCCTCACTCAACTCTGTCACCTGCAAAAATATAACCAAATCCCAAATCACTCCCATTTGACTGTCTCCTTGCACTCAGGCTCATGACACATGCCCTCTCCCACCCTCACACAGTTTTGCAAGCAGCTGGCTCTCCATCCTACACCCAACGCCACCTCCACGCACACACACTCTCCCAGGATTCGCCATGGACCCGTCACCACCTTCCCCACTTCCTCCACCGCCCCGGCCAGCCAGGGACTCACACACACACACACACATGCACTTCAGAGCTTCACGCACGGACGCTCCAGTGACCCCTGATCGCAGACTCTTAGACTGTTGCAAGCGGGTGCTCACGGCACGGACAGCTGCAGAGACACAGAGGTAGTCCGATGCTCTCCGCACACTCCCTCTCAGGCTTCCTTCACTCAAACGACTGTTCCCACCATGAGCAGCCCACTGCTCTTTGCACCTGCTCGCATGCTCATAATCACACACACTTAAACACACGGTAAGGGCAGGCAGGTGATCCTGTGGGTTTTATATACCGCAGCCTCGTCACCACCATCAGTCTTTATGTACATATGTGCTTGTGTATGTATCAATCCCTATGTATATATATGCTCATGTATACCTCAGTCTCTCTATATGTGCTCACATATGTATCAATCTATGTCTATATGTGCTCTATATGTGCTCACGTATATATCAATCTATGTATATATGTGCTCATGTATATATCAACCTCTATGTATACATGCTCATGTATATATCTCTATATATATGTGCTTGTGTATGTATCAATCTATGTGCTCATGTATACATCAATCTCTACATAGTATATATGTGTGCATATGTATAACACACCATAGTCTCACACTTCACATGCAAGTCACATAAATATTCAGACTCACAACCACACAAGTTCATCGACAGTCATCCTGACTACCACAACCATTACTCCTGCAATTTTGTGGACGTATACAACCTCCCACAACATCATGCACAATCTCAGATCCTGAGCCGAATGTTCTAGACACAACCTCACGCAGTAACTGTCAAGGCGACACATACAGCTTGACCACAGCCACACATCACTCAGGTTGTTTCCTAGACACACACCAGATCTCCCATTCATACCATCCTCCAAAAAGCAAACTCCCCTTCACGTGTTCAGACAGGTGCACCCAACCACACAGCTGACAACAATAATCACAGTCACACCCCATACATCCATCCTGTACCCCATAGTGCCCACCTCTCTGCCACCTCACCCATCTCACGAGCAGAGAGACAACCACGGCCACACAACCTCTTGGTCACACTCACAATTCTAGAAACAGTTCAACTCCCTGCCAAACACACACACAAGGCATTACAGACACACAATCAGAGGTCACCCACATTTTCACTTCACTGAATCGGTTTCACATCATTCGCACAGTCCCTCTGTGCCCTCGCAGTCCATCTCCCTTTCACACCTGTAGCCACAGCTTGACACCATCACACACACCTGAGCTTCGTACACCATCCCTCAAGCACAAGCACAAGCACAAGCACACACTCGCAGGCAGGAGGCCCCTCCATCATGGCCAGCCCCTCAAACCACTCAACTTACCCCTGGCCGGCCGGCCCAGGCCCTGGTACCCTGGCTTCTCCGCCGCCAGGCCTGTTCGTTGCCGGCCCGTCACAAGGGCCCCGTCCCAAGGGCCCCGTCCCTTCCCCAGGCCCCGCCCCATCCTCGCTCCTGTTTACCTGCGCACCGGGGAGGGGGCGCGGCCCCAGCTGGGCCTCCAGACCCGGGGGTGCCCGCTGGGCAAGGGGCGTCCAGAGACCCCAAGGCCCGCCCCTTT